GCCCAGTAGGTTACAGAAACAAATTATTTAATTTGCCTCCAGCCCGACTCAAACCGTTGACCTTGTCTGTGGAGGTTTGGGAGCTTAACCAATAAGCTATGAGACCCAAACCCAATATAGTAATATTTTTAGTATAATTGCTATTAATATAAATATATAATCACTATGATATATAAAAAAATAGTTATTATTGCTTTTTAGATTTTAATATTTTAATTAGAATAGGCTTTTGATATAAGCTATCTATATAATCTGGCTGCAATTATTAAAAACATGATCCAAGCTATATGACTTGTAACCCAAATATATGCATTGATCAACAAAAGCGAAGATATTTAATAATGTTAATTTATCTTTAGTATTCATATAGTAAAAATTAAAGTTATTTATTTAAATATATATAAATTGTTTATTGTTAGCTATAGATCTTTCTATACTTTAAATAGCCTTATTGCTTATAAGATCTTAATCGAAATAGCAAAACTCTGATGCTATTTGTAATCTATTAATTTTATACAACTAAACAAACAAAGCATATATAGATACTAAATAAGAATCATAATAATAAAGACTATTTTATCTAAGAATCTTAGTGATAATAAGATCTTTGGCTCTCAAACCAAATCTTCTATACTATTTTTCAAATAGCCTTAATCTTTGTTTATTTTAGGTTATAAAGTTTGGTGACTCAAATCTGCACTTCTACAATATAAATAACTATTCTGAAACATTGCCAAAACTTCTGATAAATATCAAAAATCTATTATAAAATAATAGAAAGAACTAGAAAAGGCTAGCATTAAACAAAAAAAACAAACATATATTGATCTCATATTCTAGTTATTTAAAAAACTGACAAGCAAAAAAACAACTCTTTTTGACGATCCTCTGGACAATGCAACAAAAAACTAAACTACAAAAAAACAGTATAAAAAAATCCAAGAATATACTATTTGCAGTTCTGACTTTGAGTAAACAGTTATCAATGAAGCTGTAGATGTGAAACACTGAGAAGCGGGCGTAACTTAGGTGGTTTTTCTTGGGGTCAAGCTTTCTGTTTTCAGTGGACTCTTTAAGATATTTGGTATCCAAACCAGAAGGGTATTCTGAAAACTAAACTTACCTCTGAACAGGTTGCTGTCGATGAAGTTTAAAAGATATAAAATACCGAAGAGCAGGTGTAACTTAAATAGTTTTTCTTGGGGTCAAGCTTTCTGTACTAGTGGACTCCCCAAGATATTCGGCATCCAAACTAAAAGGTTTATTCTAGAAGCAAGTAGTGAACTAACCCTCGCTACATTAGTATAAGCTTAAAGATACAACTATACGACTATAAAACTTACAGAAGAACCTCACATACTCTCGTTGGCCCCCACTCTTTTTCAGGGAAAATTTTGTAAAAAGTGGGCGATTTAGCTTACCCTTCCAAAAGATCGATATATTGTTTACTTCCCAAATCGGGCGATATTGTTTACGTTTATTACCTATCACAACAAATATATGGATGCAGGGATGTGGATAACTGGATTACGTGTCTCGAATGTGGCAACCTGGAAAAATAATGCTTCAAGCTCAATAGTACGAATTTCTGACCTCTCTACAGTGCCAATGTCAAAGAAGCTTTTCTTTTTTTTGTTTTTTTTAAGGTTTTAGTCTTAAACATGCTATATATATAAATTAGTATAGAGAATAGTTTAAATAGTAACATGTAATTTTTATAGAGCCTGACACAAGCTTATAATTGTGACTGTCTGGTGTCTTTTAGTTTAGTTTTTCTCGTTCTTCCTTTCTCCACTTTTATTTCTTTTATTTGTTTTTTTTCACGTATTCCCCTATACCTCTGTATTTTACTTATAAAATTTTTCTTTTTCTTTCACTTCTTTATGAGAAGATGTTATCAGATTGGTAATATCCTATTGTAGGGTGGTAGTTGGACAAGCTCCTGGCAGGTATTATTTTAGTTGATCGTATTTGTTGGTGTGGCAGGTCATCTGTAGGTATATGTAGGTAATCGGTTAGGTTATACGAGATAACCACAGAATATCAGATTTTCAGATTTAATGATTTGCTTGCTCTACAAGGTTATAGCTTTATTAAACAATAAATACTGGCATGACCCACCTAAGTGAAAAAAAAAAAATTAAAATTAAAAATTAAAAAAACTGAGATTTGCAAAAAAAAATTAATCCTAATAAAAAAACTAAAAAATAGATATACACCAAATCTCTAATACCAATTCTATAAAATAGTCGATCATATTTTATATTCTGTGTTTTATTTATAAATATTGTATATTCATAGAATTTATAATCTTAAATCATGGAGATTATTAAATAGTTGATTATATTGCAAATTCACAAAGTTTTCACAAGAAATAATGAAAAAATCAAAAAAATTTTTTGCAAAAAAACAAGCATCTAAAAGCAACAATACCTGAATGCAATATTACTTAAATTAATAATATCTGAATACGACAATACTTGAATATAACAACATCTAAATATAATGACATCTAAATGCGATAATATCTCAAGAAACTAAATATTCATATATAATATTGATCTATATAACTATCATAATATCACAACCTGCTATAAATATAAAATTTCTAAAAAAAAAATCAAAATAAATAATAAAAAAATAAAAAAAGTTTAAATTTAATAATAAAAAATACAAGTTTATTATATATAAGAATTTTTTTAAAAAATAATATTTGATAATAAACTACTTCTGTTATTAAAAATAAAATTTAAAAATTTGTATAATCTAAAAATAAGCTACTTTTAATTTTTTGACCTTAAAATTGTCTAAAAAAAATAGCTTATTTTCAGGAATATACAGTATATAAAGAATTTGTTATATAGTCAGACCTCCCTAAATGCAACCTCCATAAATGCAATACCTCTCTAAATGCATATTTTTGTTTTGGCTATATGAAATCATTAGTGCTAAATGCACATTCTATATTCTGCAAATGCACATTTACTTAAAGATTTTTTATATCATACTAACCTCCCTAAGTGCACGTAGCTAATCAGAAATCAGTATTTAAGTTTGTTACACAAATCTGCAGATCAAATATTAAAAGCTGCAATTTGATTAGCTCCCTCTAAATGCAAACCTCTCTAATTGCATGTTTTAAGCTAGTCTGTACATGTTGCATTTATGGAGATTTGACTGTAATAAATATATGTTAATAAAAACCAAAGATATAATCTTACTTTAATATTAAAAAAAAATTTAAAAATATAACTTTGTCAAAAAAAAAAATTTAATAGTTTTAAAGCAATAATTATATATAAAATTATACTCTAAACAACTTTAATTAAGAAGTTAAAAGTTATTTGAGTAAAAAAAAGGTTTCTATAAACTAATATTAAAATTTTAGTTTTTCTATATAAAACTTTTTTTTTATTTAGATAACCTGTTCTGACCTTTTAAGCAAATTTATTTAATACATACAAGTCAAAATAAGAAATATCAAGCTCATATTGGTATTATTTAATTCTAATATAGATCTGATATAAAACTGATATTTAGCAGAAATAGGATACAAATCAGGTATAAATTAGATTTAAATCGGTATTTAATAGCTATCAGAATACTAATAGCTCTATAAATTAATCAATAAAGCTATCAATTAATTTTCTAATAGCTTTATCAATTTATTTAGATCTTATCCCAGAATCCTAATACCCAAACTTCTAACACCAAAATCTTGACAATACTAAAATTCTGATATCTAAAATCTTAACAGTACTAAATCCTGATACTATCTACATAAATTCTAATACCCAAAATCTTAACAGTATCACAATCCTGATAGTGACAAAACCCTGACAATATCACAATTCTAACAGTAACAAAATCCTGACAATCCAAAATCCCAATACTACCAAGATTCTGACATTATCAAGATCTTGATAATGCCAAAATCCCAACAATGTCAAGATCTTGACAATGCCAAGATCTTGATAATGCCAAGATCTCAACAATGCCAAAATCTTGACAATATTAAGATCTAGACAATACCAAAATTCTAACAATACCAAGATCTTAACAATGCCAAAATTCTAACAATGCCAAGATCACAACAATATCAAGATTCCAACAATGCCAAAATCCTAACAATGCCAAGATCCAAACAATGCCTAGATCCTGACAATACCAAAATCTAGACAATGCCAAGATCCCAACAATGCCAAAATCCTGATAATGCCAAGATCCTGACAATACCAAGATCTTAACAATGCCAAGATCTAAACAATACCAAGCTCTAGACAATACCAAAATTCTAACACTATTAAGGTCCTGATAGTGCTAAATCTTGTCTGAAGTGCATAATGAGTTTTCATTCCAATTAGTTAATTTTTTGTAGTGTATAATTTTACAATAATATAAATAAACCCAAAGTAAAATAAATATTTTACATTAAATAAAAGATTGAATTAAAGATGTATTTATTTAAATTTCTACTTGGATCTGATAATTATTTTTATATATATAATTGGTTAGATTTAAAAAAAAATGACTTTAACAATCTACTAGTATGTAAGAGATGGTCTAGAAAAATCAATATAGTATAGGCCAAAATCCAATATAGTATTTGATAAAATTTTACCTTAAGTTGTATCTGAAATTTTTGATAAAAAGCTGAATATTATAGCATCTAATATTTATTTATTTGGCATAATTAAGTAGAAAATTTTATATGAAAAATTGATATATTGCGATCGTGAATTTGATAATCAATTTTAAATAGAGATATGCTATAAAAACTTAAGATCAACTATCATTAAGAATATACCACAAGGCTATATAAATCTAATAAAAGAATATTGAGAAAAATGTTCAGAAAACCATCTAACTGCAGAAGAAATTTATAATATTTTTACAAAATGAAAAGATAGTAAAATGATGAAAAAATATTATTGGAATTATCTGAATCTGAACAAGTATTAAAAGATGTTTTGAATATATTTGACCCAACATATATTGAATCAAATTATAGAAGTAGATCTTATTGTATCTCTAATCTGTTTAACTCGTGTAAAGATGATTTTTGACCTGTGATCCTTATAGGTTAGCGCAACCTGAGTAATAGCTTTAAAAACATTTACAGATAAATGTCACAGCTGATGCTAAAATCTAGAACTTAGATTCAAAAATATAAGCCCTGCTAAAATTCATATATATTCTTTAATAATCAATTCTATTTCTAAATCCCAACTCTAAAAAAAAATTAGAAACAAAACACCACAAAAAATTTTATAACAAAATAGATCTGAATTTTAGTATCTGCTATAATAATAAATAATATAAAAGGATATTACTATAAATTACCACTACGATGATGAAGTATGGGAAAAAATTAGTAAACTATTAAAACCAAACTGCTAACAATAAATAATAAAAAAAATCATTAATATAAATGAATTAAAAGAAATAATTAACTGCAAGTAAAAAATATATGAAACTCAAATCTATCTTTTAATTGGTAGTGACTTTTTTGAAATAGCAAAGAAAAAAAAACTTGAAAGTAATTTTTGGCTACTAATATTATTATAATTATTATATTTTTTTTATTACTTACTCAGAGAATGTATTTGATAGATACTCATTAATACTATAAGCATAGTCATCTTGAAGATTATAATAGATTGGATGTTTGTGATTATTATTAGTCTATCTTATATTGTTACAAGTAAGGTTTTGTCTAGCACCTGCTTTTTTTAACAAAAGTATATTATTTAATAGTACAATATTGATTAGGAGTACCCAGTAGCTTAAGTTTATTTGCTAAATACCAATTGTCAAGAATCCCAAATTGCAGATAACTTGGTAAAAATCATAGTTAGGTTCCCTTTGAATGACCTTGTATAGTAGAGATCTTTGATCTATCTTTAATTTATCAATAGTAGAAATGTAGATTTTTACTAAATCACTAGGTTCGTATATTCAATTTTGATTTGTTTTATACTTTGCTTCTGTTTTGTTTTAATAAATTTATAGTTTCTTTTAACATTTAAAAAAGAAATTTGTAATATTAAATAATAGTATTCTGGACTAAAATATTTGAAATTGTAATAAATTATAAAATAAATAAAAATAAAGTAAAAAATAAAATAATAATAATATATTATCATCTGCGTTCCAAATTCAAATCTATATCACCAAATTCAGAATCTTTATAATGCTTTCTAATTTGGGCTCTTCTATGCCTTTTAATTCAGACCCTCATGCTTTCTAACTCAGAACCTTCTATGCTTTCTATGTAATTCGGAACTTTTTATGCTTTCCAATTCTGGATCTTCTATGATTTCTAATTCGATATCTTCTACTATGATGCTATTCTCCCGATTTATTAATATTGTCTGCTATTAGAATATCACTTGAATTCTTATCATTATGAGAATATTAACCGAATACTATACAATAGGGTATTATTTTATGAGAACAATATTAATTATTAATGCTTTTCCCTATTCTGATCCAAGACTATTATTACTAGGATTTAAAAAAGTCATTGCAATATTCTTGTATATTGCTAATACTTTTTTTTGCCAGAATCTAAAAAAGTTACTGTATATTCTTTCAGATTCAAGTTCATTATTACCAGAATTCAAAGTATTTTTTGCAATGCATATCTTTAATACTTTTTCTCTTTTAGATTCAAGTTTGTTTCAACTATAAGCCAGCTTTTTTTCAGTAAGAGTACGATATTATTAAATTCTATAATAAAATATTTAAAAAAGATTAAAACATAATTATTTGCAAAAAAACCAATTTGTAAAGTCTCAGAAATCTCAAAAGATTCTAAAAATAGTTTCATCTTTTATTATATATTATATATTAACAAAATATCATAAATCTTTTTATTAGATTATCGAATACAAATCATAATCTGAATATAATAAAAAAAAAAAATTAAATTGCTATGTATTATAACAAAAAGAAAATAATAAAAAAAAATATTACAAAGAAAGATATGAATAAAGATTATATGCTATTGTATACAAAAATTCTATTACTGACAGATTTTCTCAGTCATTAAAAACTGCTATTATTCTTTTCTCTTTTTTAATATAATATTTGCTTAATTTGGGTCTTGGTTCTTCTTGAAGAATATGTTCAACCTAAACATCAACATGCTGATGTTCTTTTTGCAACTCATTTATTAATATATAAATACTTATATGTTTACTTTCTATTAAATTATTTAATAACTATACCAAGCCTCTACAGAATTTTGTATTCGTGAAATACCTAGACTAACTGACTCATATACAGACCAAAGCTATGGGTGAAAAAAAGGTAAGTCATGGATTACTGTATCACCATCTTGTGATCTACTTCTTACCCTTTCTATATAGTTATTTTCAAACTATTCAATTATATCACTTGTCTCAGAAGGCATATTAGTTTTCAAATTTTCAAAAGCAGCAAAAATCCCATTTGAAGATAAAAATAGCAAAGCAAATAAATGCTGAATCATAAGGCTAAATTAAAACTATTACTATATATAGTAATCAAGCTATACTCCTGAATTTTATACCAGCTGCTTTGACATAAATGAAAGTAATACAATTTATTTTTTGTATTAGGTAGTTTGCAACGTGATGCATTAATTATAGTTTTCTCAAAGTCTATAATTATTCATGTTAGATTTAATTGAAAATTTATTTCATTAGCAAATTCAGACAAACTTCTGAAAAACAACCTATTTTTAGAGTTTTTTAATTAATAATTATAATAATAAGAATTCTAGTTTAAAGATTGAACCTGTTAAAAAAATCTTTACTCAGGTATATATTATTAAATTACTTGGGTTATCCAAGTAAGTTATTATATATTTTGAGTAATCATATACGTAGTATCAAATTATTATCTATACAATTCTTCTGATTTTTCTATCATTATTGCATATATTAATAGTAAGATTCAAAATTTTTTTTCTGGACCAACTGGTGCATAGATCATATATAATTGATAAAAAATAGATAGAACTGTTTTAAAATTCTATCCATTAACCAAAATGAAGCTTCTGATAGACATTTAATATTTTCTTTAATAGAAAAAATAAGAATTCTATGTTGACCAAGTATACAATCTTTAATTAAGAAAGAATTTCCAGCTAAAGTATTACATAGAATAGGCAGTATAGTAATATCTAATGCATTTGTTGATTGTATTTGTGGGAAATTTTCTTTTTTTTTAGTATAATAAATCATCTTATAAATAGAATTAAGAAACAATATATATGGTTGTATTTCAAAAAATTTTATAATATTATCTTGACTTTTTAAAGCATGTTTTTTGATACTAGCAATAGTGTGGCAACTTCAGAGCTACTTGCTTGAGAAGTATGATTATGCTTAATTACATTTTGTAAATAATGTAAATTATTTTTTAGAATTGTAACTGCACGATCTTTACAATTTTTTGATTCTGATTTACATTTATTACAGCACCAATAAAATTTGTCTTCCTGGTTTCTTTCTTTTATCAAAAGATATCTGTCAATTTTAATTTTAACATTTCCTTTTTGCAATAGAACAGTTTCACAAATTTGATTCATTTTTGGTATCTTTATTTTTTTAAAAAGAAAAGAAGTCAATTATGTAATACTGTATAATAGAAAAAAATTTAATAAGTATAGAATGCTTTAAAATTGGTATAGAATAATCAAATCAAATTATATAAATATAAAAATAATGAATAAATCTATTTTATTTATTTAAGTTATATATTATATTATTATTTATATTAATCATAATAATCTAATATACTTTGCAACTTTGATATAGTTAGTAATATAAATAATAAATAATTCAAAAGTTGATCCAGAATTGGTGACTTTCTTCGATTTTCACTGATTAATTTAATAAATACATATTTTATTAATTAATATTGATATTTACATTGATTTTTATATTGATATTTACATTGATATTTATATTGATTTTTATATTAACTTTTATATTCTTTTATCGTCATATACTTTATTTCTTTTTTTTTTATTCATTATATCTGAATTAATTTTTATCACTTTTATTATATATTTTTTTTAACTCTTATAGGTTAACAAGAATATAATTTTATGATTTATGAAACCTTAACCAAATATTAGAGTTATTATAAAGAACGTTTAAATGTACTAAAAAATCCAAACCTTCAGTATAACGCAAAGTTTAAATATTAGGCGATTAATACTTTTAAAGTTCATCATATTGGTATAACAAGGGAACTGCATCTGCTTAAATAAGATAAGAATAATCTGAAAACGCAAGTTTGTTAATTTTTATTGCCCATGGAAAAGGTAAATTTATACTTATTTTTAAAAAATAAAAATATTTGTAATAATAATAATAACAACTTTTTTACATATTAGATTTAGGTTAGATACTGTCATAGTTAGTTGAGAATATAATTAATAAATGCAAAGTGTATATTATTCAACATATTTTCCAAAAAGTTTCACCAATGTGTTCTATTGTTTCTGAAGGCTTTCTAAATCATGTTCAAGTATGTATATTATATTAACTTTAATAAATAAATTTATATAGTTAAATTTTAAATTGCATTAATTTGATATTACATATCAATATGACAGCCATTCTTAATGGAGAATATAAGTATATCTTTCACATAAGAGACCATTTCAGTTGATTCTCTTATGCTAAACCAGTTCAGTCTAAATCAGCTAAAGAAGTTGCCACGTTATTCCTTAATTTTTGTTTTATATATAACTCCCTTGTAATTCTCTATATTGACAAATACTTTTAAGGAAATGCTAAAATTTTGGCCAACAATAAAATAGTATATAGTCTTCTTTGAAACCTAATGTCAAGGACTTGTAGAGAAAGGTAATGACATCCTTGAAGTAAAACTAAAGGCATGGATGGAAGATACGAGAAGAACTGACTGGAGCATTAGTTTAAAAAATACTATATATAAAATTTTTATTTTTTTATTATGCAGGAGTGATGAACAATTAATATTGTTCTTATAAAATAATACTCTATTGTATAGTATTCAATCAATATCCTCGTAATGATACAAATTCAAGTGATATTCTAATAGCAGAAAATGATAATTATGATAATAATGAAATTATAATTCTAATATTAATGAATCAGGAAATTCTACTTTAGATAGTACCATAGTAGAAGATATTGAATTAGAAATTATGAAAGATTAGAATTAGAAAGTATAGGAAGTTTTGAATTATATAAAAAGTATGAAAAGTTCTAAATTATATAGAAAGTATGGAAGATTCCAAGTTAGAAAGCATGGGGAGTCTGAATTAGAAAGCATAGAAGGGCCCAAATTAGAAAGTATTGTGAAGGTTCTAAATTTGGTAATAATAAATTAGATTTTAAATTTTGATGTTTTAAATTAGAAAATGTTTAAAGTAGCTCTGAAATGACGATTTATCAGATTATAGTAATAAAATTATTGATGAAAATATTAATATTCAAGAAATTATAAAAATCTGTTGTTGAACTACCTGAAATAAAAAATGTAGATTTGAATTCAAAATATGGATAACAATATATTATTATTATTTTATTTTTTAATTTATTTTATAATTTATTACAATTTCAAATATTTTAGCCCAGAATACTATTACTTAATATTACAAATTCCTCTTTTAAATGTTAAAAGAAACTGTGAATTTATTAAAACAAAACAGAAGCAAAGTATAAAACAAATTAAAATCAAATATATGAATCTAGTAATTTAGTAAAAATCTGTATTCTCACCATTAATAAATTAAAGATGGATCAAAGATCTCTACTATGCAAGATTATTTAAAAGAAACCTAACTGTGATTTTTACCAAGTCATCTGCAATTTGAGATTCTTAACAATTATATTCGGTAAATAAACTTGAGCCACTGGGTACTCCTGATCAACATTGTATTACTAAATAATATACTTTCATTAAGAGAAGCAGGTGCTAGACAAAACCTTACTTGTAACAATATAAGATCGACTAATAATAATCACAAATATCTAACCTATTATAATCTTCAAGATGACTATGCTTATAGTATTAATAAGTACCCATCAAATATGTTTTCTGAGTAAGTAATAAAAAAACATAATAATTATAATAATATTGGTGGCCAAAAATTACCTTCAAGTTTTTTTTTCTTTGCCATTTCAAAAAAGTTGCTACCAATTAAAAGATAGGTTTAAGTTCATATATTTTTTACTTGCAGTTAATTATTTCTTTTAATTCATTTATATTAATGATTTTTTTATTATTTATTGTTAGTAGTTTGGTTTTAATAGTTTACTAATTTCTTCCACACTTCATCATTGTAGTAATAATTTATAGTAATATCCTTTTATATTATTTATCATTGCAGCTGATGCTGAAATTTAGATCTATTTTGTTATAAAATTTTTTGTGATGTTTTGTTCTCGATTATTTTTTAGAGTTGGGATTTAGAAATAGAATTGATTATTAAAAAATATATATAGATTTTAGCAGGGTTTATATTTTTGAATATAAGTTCTAGATTTCAGCATTAGCTATGACATTTATCTGTAGATATTTTTAAAGCTATTACTCAGGTTGTGTTAACTTGTAAAAATCACAGATCAAAAATCATCTTTACACGAGTTAAACAGATCAGAGATGCAATAAGATCTAATTCTATAATTTGATTCAATGTATATTGGGTCAGGTATATTCAAAACATCTTTTAATACTTGTTCAGATTTAGATAATTCTAATAATATTTTTTCATCATTTTATCATTTTTCTATTTTGTAAAAATATTATAAATTTCTTCTGCAGTTAGACGGTCTTCTAGACATT